TTGTAGTAACTTACTTACATAACAACAAAATTCAGGACACGATAAACTAATGTTTAAAAAAATTGTGGTTTATAACACTTACTTTCAAAATGAAAGTTGAGTTAGGAATACTGCAATTTTTATCAGTTTGAAATTATTCTTCTTTGATAAAACAACTAACCCTAAATGATGTTTCTGAGTGAACCAATTCAGACAACTTTTATTAAACAATTAAATTGTTTGTTTAGCTGTATACACTGATAACTTAGTCCTCAACACCAACTGAACATGACCGAAAGAACTTGTTTCTTCAAAATGGCATAAGAGACTCTTTTGAATGAGCTCTTAATCTTCTTAAATCACTGATCACAGTTCTCAGACACAATGTAGGTTATGAAGAATAAGTCTTGCTACAACATTTACTGGAGATGTTTAAGCAAGTAATTAATGTGCTTACCTATGCCTTTAATGAAATGTGCAGGGGTAGGGGTCAAACTGTGCAGGCCACAACCTTTAACAGATTGCCACTGAACATGGTATTATGTATTTGATATCAAAGTTATTTGATTCAGTGACAGATCATGGATGAGGAGAGTAAATACCAGATATAAAATAAAGAGATGCTGAAAAGAACTGTAGATATGCATTTCAGATGTCCTTCAGGTTATCAGAATGCAATATACAAACTGTTTGATGGACAAAAGTATTTTTAGTTTCCACATGAATATCTCCTTGCACTCTGACTTGTCAAAATCTCAGTCACAGTAACAATTCACAGACATATCTTGAATGCAAATATTCTTGTAATGCATCTGAGTTCTGTGCATAACATACTTGTACATTTGACTATAAGTTTGCTACATTTCTTGTAGATACATGTAGTAAATTCAGAATTATAGTCAGCATTCCTTCCCCAATACAGGGTAAATTCAATGTACCAATCCCGTGCACATCAGTGAAAGACATAAATTACGGCACAAACCTTACATAAATAAGGTGTGAGATATATATTATTTTTAAGCCATTATGTCAACTTACATTTTGCTAGGATGAATAGTCATTTCTATAACTTAAATTACATTCATATACTATAAATCTAAAAAAGTAGTTTTAAGTTTGAATAAACATAACCATTTAAATACTTATAGGAAGTCATGATGAGCTTAAAGCACAAAGTATATTTTTTGTGCTATCTTAAAGTAGAATTAGTACTAGTTTAATTAAACTCTCATCACAATAAAATATGAATTAAATATAAAAATTACAGAAATCTTTCTGATTTCTAACGTATCAGACAATAAAGCCATAACAATTAACCCTAAAAATTGTTGATTTTCAGATATGAGATAATAAAACTATGAACTTTGAAACAATCTGCTGATTTTTTAAAATCTGATGGTTCTTTACCACAACTGAGAAAATACCTATCATTGAACTGTGGGTTCTCACATATAAAACATTAGATTAACAAGTAATTTCTAAAATATGTTCTATGTCCTTATTCCCATTGGATTTACTTAAGAATCAATCTGTTTCCAGACCATTATAATAAGTACCTACACATGTTCTTCAATTTGTAAAGTAAAGACTTACCCTTTAATACCATTAGCAGAAAACGTGTGAACTTTCAGATATAATAATGATAACATTTTTAGGTAAGCAATTCTAAAACAAAAGTAGTACTAATTTTGAATTTAATGATTATATAACAATTTAATTTTACAAATAAATCTACAATCCCTTTGCAACCAAGATGTGGTAGTTTGTTTTAAGATATATAAACCAAAGCATAAAATCACATTATTATTACAGAAAAAAACAAAAACAAACACATTACAACTTTAGCTTACCTGCACGCCTGGAGGCCCAGATGGCCCTGGTGGACCAACTGGTCCATCTTCTCCCTTGAAAATACCGGAAATTATAGCTGAATTACAATCGTTTTTAAGGTATTAACAAATAAAAATCAAACTCTTTTTGTTAATAATAATAATAAATTTACAACTCTATTCAGAAACAAAACTGAGAATTGGATTGATATTTAGATTTTAGTTTCCCTGCTCAAGTTTATTAACACTTTCAGTTCTGTGTACAAAACCTTGGAATTAGTTAAGTACCATTGTTTATAAGTTGCATAAACAAAATCGTATTTATTTTTCATGTTGTCTGAAATACTTTATTAAACTAAATAAAAAGACCCTCATCTTTTAGAAGTACTGCTGTTGGAGCTTTTTCAGAAAGATTCGTAATATACGCAGTACTATAAAACTATATGGAGTATATGTTAAAGTAAACTTTTATAAAAGAAATTCAGTGTACTTTGAACTGCACTCAATAAAGTAGTAATCCCAAAACACTAAACAATGTATTTTATCATATAGTTTGAGAATAACATATCAGTTAAGTTAATAATTCTTATTACATTAATGATAACAACACTAAACACAAACATTAATGCAATTATACTATTTTCCAGTATATGTAAAAACATTTAATTATATGTTGTGTAAAACAAAATTAAAATCCCAAAAAATTCAAAGAATACTCTATTTATTTAGTAGAATAAAATATATTTAGATTCTTATATGTGTCAAACATTTTCTACATATGAATTTCTCATGTTAAAAATTCCTCCAGAGTGAAATTGTGACATGTAGAATATGGATAATGGATATGTTCACAGAATATTGGTTACTTGTTACTATTCAGAGTTTATTATTATCTTTATTAAATAAACATCCATTAGAACTCACTCTAGATAAAAAGTTTTTTATAATAAGAAATATAATTACATGCTTATGTCACAATAACACTGCATCTGAGTAGGTAATAGAGATAAAAAGCAATAAAAGAATTAGCTTTAGGAGTGAAACTTTTAAATGAATTTCTGAAATATTCATTGTTTATTTTCACTTTCATTGCCACAGATTTTAATCTTTCCTTTTTCTTTTCTGTTTATAAATAATAATACATCAGCATGAGCATGCACATGAAATACTTTAATGAGTAACTAACTTTTGGTCCCCTTGGCCCTTGAGGTCCAGCCATTCCTCTCTCTCCTTCAGGACCCTAGATACAAAAAATATTATATATAATGATTAAAAAAAGTTTATACAGTTGGTAGATTTTAAGGTCGATCAATAAAACAAATGATTTAAAATGACAACTAACAACACTTACAACATTAGCATCTATAAATTGCGATTTTTCCACTAAACTTTGTTCATTATAAACTTGAGCATACTATAATGATTCAATACAAGTCTCATGAAATGTTTTACATATTAACATTATATTATATTATATCACTTTTATCACACCATCTGGGTAATTTTTGTGTACATATTAACCTCCGTGCATCTTTAGTGTAGTTACAGTTACAATTAATCTCAGTTAAAAAGAAATCACTCTTCTTAGATAATTATATAACTTATAATAACAAACATCTATTCACAAAATGTTATAAAACGTGAGCTTTTTACCTTATTTCTCCATGAATGTCTACAATTGGATTATACTAAAAACACTGAATATTATTTCATATTATATCAAAATAAAACACTAGTATCAAACATATCAAATATAATGTTAAATAAGATAGTGTTAGAATATTCCAAGCTTTAAAGTTTTTGGGTGTTTATTAGTTATTTTAAACAGACAATAAAAATAAATAGACTGATACAACTGGGAAGTTACTGTGTTATAACTAAAAAGTAAAAACATTTTAACATCATTATTAACATATATATATACAAACCTGTGATTCCTTCAGTTTAAATCTATATAAATATAATAGCACTGTCTGTTGTCTGTCCACGTAACTACTTTGCAGGGTGTGGATGGATCTTCACCAAAACTGGTATGGAGGTTCATTAGGGCCATGAATGGGTACATACAGTTTTACATTTTGCATTTTTTATGGGCATTTTTTGTGATTTTTTACCACTACTTCGTCCTCTGTAGATCGATCTTCATCAAATTTGGTATGGAAGTTCTTTGGGTCCATGGAGAGATACATATAAATTTTAAGTTTTGCAGTTTTTATAGGCATTTTTGTGTTTTCACATCTTTTACCACTATTTTGCCCCCTGTTGATGGATGTTCACCAAATTTGGCATGAAGGTTTGTTGGGTCCATGTGGATATACATGCAAATTGTGTTTTGCAGTTTTTGTGGGTGATTTTGTGTTTTTTACAATTACATATAATGGAAGTAACTTATCCTGTCCTAAGATAACCTTTCATTAATCATGAATTTACATAACTTCAATCTAGGGGACGGGTAGTCTAGCTAGTAATAAATATGTTTTAAATTAGAGCCTCAAACTTCACTTTGGTCACAAACCTGACAAAATATATATTTTGATAAACAAAGAATTTTTTTGCATAACCTGCACATATAGCACTGTTATCATGATTAATATTGTAAACGAATATCTAAATTTTTCATGTTTCATATGCACAACAAAATGTATGACAAATAATCATTAATATTTATCAAAATAAAAGACTAATTCTCCATAACTTACAGGAGGTCCTGGTTCACCTCTGATACCCTGTGAGCCAATGCCTCCTGCTGGTCCCTAAAGCATCAGAATTGTAAAGTGAATAAAACATGCTTGTTCAAAATGTACATTTAACATACTACAACAAAATTTAAGTATATAATTCAAATCTATCTCGATTGCAAGTACTTAACAATGTACAGTGGCTTAAAATATACATTCACATTCTACAAATATGAGTGCCATATAGATAATGTTTCATGACAGAATGTGGGAACTAATAACCAATAAAATGGCTTTAACCTCTCTGTGACCTTGAAGTGGCTAATGCACACTAGATTACAAACTTGATGGTTGATTACTTTTTGCAATAAAATAAAAAGATCGTCTGATGTTAGGCCTAAAAAATGTGGATCATGTTGTCCTTATGAACAATTGATATTCAAGTTCTGTCTCTACATTAACCTGCAGAACAAAAAAAAATGTCTAATTTACATTACCCATTCTTTAACCTGAACCCCCAAAAAAGTAGCTCACAATTCAAGGCAAATTGTGCTTCTAAAAATAGGGTCTTTTATTATGCATAAATTCAAAAATGCCATTTGTAAAAATAAAATTCAACAAATATTTTTAGCATGGTTGAGATACTTAATGAAAAGTTAAACAAATTACCAACAAATTTCTTTTATGCATCTTCTGCAGGAAAGCAAAATAGGTCTCCTGTAAATTTGCTTTTATTAAACTTATTTTAAGGTGATTTGTCTAATCTAAAGCACAAAATATATGTACTGACTTATAAAAAGTTATGAAAGTCTCTATGAATGTTTCTGCCCAAGTTTAATACTAATGGGTTGATTTATTTATGGACAATTTCCAACTAATGGCATCTAAAACATCCAAATAACTTTAAAACATTTCCAGTTACATTCAGATTTTGATACCTAACACGATACCTTAACAGAGATAATGGTTTGCAAGTTCTAATTTTATACCAGTTAATGCAACACGCATTAGTAAATAATACATTCCTTTATCAATTTATATTTTATACATATTGTGATCAAGATGGCCAAATAAACCAAGATGTCTCCTCACCAGTAGCCTACAATACACAGTATAAGTGAGACATTATCATACACTATTCCTATCAGTAAGCCATAATAGGAACACTATGGAGTTTTATGTTTAAAAATATTTCCACACCTACTTTGGCATTTGATCACTCCAGATTAGCCTAAAATTAATTTTAGAAGCTAAATTAACCAACTGCATGTTACAAAATATATTTAATAAAATATCTCACAAATATTTAATATATAATGTTTTTCACTTGTTTCTTTACTTTTTACTTTCAGTATTTTGCTGCACTAAGCAGTAATTTCAAGGATAAAATTAGCACCAATTTACCTGATCTCTGCAATAAGCAGAGATTCAAGGAACTAGATGCAATGATTTGTTATTGATGGAACACAAGACACAGTTGAAATTGAAATGAAACACTTTATATTACAGAAGTAAAACAAAAATGGCTGATTGTGCTCATGGAAGGATTACTGCTGGGTACTGAAGTTAAAATGTAAAATAAACAATGGAGTTAAACTGTATTTGAATACAGAAAGTAAATACCAGATTTATATATATTTAACAAAAGGTAAATAAAAATGAACTTTGTTGAAAACGGAGTTAAAACAATCAATCAGTAGATGCACATAAAAAATGGAACAATGATAGGACTTCCCAACAAGTTCTGACTCCTCAAGGCTAGAAACAAATCTGTTTGAAAACACCAAAACTGTGTTCACAATTAACCTTCTCTCTGTAACTGACCAATCAGAAAATTGTATCAGAAGATTTCAGAAGCATCTCTGTTCCATGTGGCAATTGTAGAATAATCCTACATACACATGGTAAAGTGGGATACCATAGAACAACCACATAAAATAGTAGACAGATTTCATGATAGGTCCCTACTAAAGAAAGTAACACCTAGGACTGAATTTAGCACATGACCTCAACCATATTTATGATGTTCCAAACTATAACCTAAAGATAAATTTGAAATGATGTGGATATAAATATACACTGCAGGAGGGTGAGATATATGGTATTTACTAAACTACATCTACATGATACTTAACATTTATATTAACATATGTTAGCTTTTTGTACTAAACCTAAAGTGTTTTACTCTCCAACAGTAGCCAAATTAATGCATGTAATATGTTTAATTGAAATTTGATTTAAAACTAGGAACATTTAACAAAAGTCAACCTACAGTATTTCCTTTAGTTCCTTTTAATCCCTTCTGACCAGGCATTCCCATTTCACCCTAAGCAAACAATAAAATTAAACTGTTAGTACATAAAAAAAATTCAGATTTTCCTTCTTAAAATGTTTCAATCACATCATCTTAACATACCATGTTCTCTGTATGTATATGTTGTTCATTTAATGTTTTATTTTATAAACATATACAAAATTTTACAAGTAATAGAAGATTCAAACAAACTAACATATTACAATTTAAGCATTTTAGATTCCAAAATAAATGAAAAAAGTTAAAAACACAAAGATCTTCTAAATTTAGTTAATATTATTTACACCAGACATTTTATCAATTATATCAAATACACATATAATATAAAGTGTTTTTTTTAGCTCCAGCAAAAAGCAATGATTTACAGTTTTATCTGAATTAAACAAATTCACGTGAAAATTAAATAACCTTAAGTAAATTTATCCACAAAAAATACAAACCTAGAATCCAAATAATAAACCATAAAAACTTTCAAACCAAATTTCTTGAAAAGCTAGCAACTCTTCTCTTTCTTTTTTAAGATTTTCTGTACTTTTTACAGTTTTTTGTTCCTGTCAACTTATGTTCTTCATTTTGTTTATCTTACACAAACTACTAATACAATGTTTTTTACACACCAGCAGGTTACTTTTTTTGAAATTAGAATTAAAAACAATAAAAATTAACATTGATATCAAACAATTAGAAAATATAATGGTTCCAAAGATACCTTGTCTCCATCTTCTCCTGGAGTTCCTACTGGTCCTGCTGGTCCTGGTAAACCCTAAGTTAGTAGAAACATTTTTTAACCTTAATTATATATGCATGCTATGCTTAACTTTATGTTACATATTAACCAATTTGATAGCATTTACCAATAAACGATTATAATTTTTATTGAAAATGAATCAAACAATACATGTTTAATGTATAAACTTTACACACACGGTATAAAATCTCCATCATAATTAACTAATCTGTATCTATCAATATCTTGTAAGATAAATTTCACCAAGGTTTTGTCTTTCTACTGTTACAAAGACAGATAATTATATAAACCAATTCACTATTAATTTGTAACATACTGAACTCTATGAATGAATTCCTATACTAATAAGTAATATCAAGATATTAAGGACAGTTTTATGTGATTCAGCAAAATATGTTTATATATGTATTACCATAATAAACAATTAAATTCTTACTCTGGCACCAGGTGGTCCATCTCTTCCAGAAGGACCTGGTAATCCTCCATCTCCCTATTGGCAAAAACACAAGAAATAATATGGCAACTGAATGTGACAAATACATTTTTTTTTCATATACTCATAAAAATACTCCTTCCAGTACACTGCTTTTTAAGCAAATGAAATATATAAATATATATATATATATATATAATCATTAAAAATAATTTTATAAAATACACAAAGATAGCTTCATCACAACATAGTTTTAATCAGTAAAGTAACATTTACAAAAAAAGCAATAAAGTAATAATGTAGTAATTGATTTATCCACAGATTTCATGAAAACATATTAATGGAATATTTTTGTCTCTAACCTTATCTCCTTTTGAACCAGCTGGCCCTGGTGGTCCAGGAGGTCCAAGTCGCCCCTGTGATGAACAAAACGATTACTTTCACAAAACATAAGACTATAATACAATAAAACAGGATTGTTATAGCACTTGTGACCCAATTTAGTTGTCCTGAGTGTTTTTTCAGAAAATGGAAACCATAAGTAATACTGTTTCCCAGTCTCGGTTTCTTTTGTTTTTTGTTTACTCATGCTAAACAATATAAAATCTCTCTCTTTACATTAGGATCTCAAGGTATTTAAATAAATAAGATTTTAAGTGGCAGTACTAAATTGTAATTACTAAAATTATAGCTTTTACTAAAACTGTTCCCTTTAATATATCAATAATTTCTCATCAAACCAAGCTACCAAACAGATCAGAATTAAACATTAACCCAGTAAATACAGTTTGTTTGCTACCAAGAAACTACTTGTAGAATAACAAAAATAGTTTAAAGAGTTCACCTTTTCACCTGGAGGTCCTGGATTACCTGGAAAACCCATTGAACCTTTTTCTCCCTGTTTAAGAGAAAACCCATCAATATATTGGACTTATACATATCTGACACATATTCAATAATATCAATGTCTTTACCCAGGTTTTATTTGTTTGAAAAATGTTTACTTTGCAAACTTTTTAATTTTTATCTAGTTTTATACAATACAAAAAAGTTCACAAATATTTTGTGCCTTAAACAAATATAATTACATATTATAAAGTGAGTACTATTTTTAATAATAAACTGTACACAATGTTTTTTAATTATCAAAATGTTTAACACCAAAACTATTTTTTATTTCATTTACTGACATCATGAAATGGGTAACACAAAATTAATATCTTATTAAAACTACAAATGATTTGATAATGTTGCCATCGTGCATAATTCTTGAAACTTATAGCAGACAGAAAATATCAAATTATTTCTCACATAAATGATTTGGTACCTACATACACTGAATATATATATATGCTGCTTAGTACAAAAATAAAGCAAATGAAACATCTCTTACAAAAGGTCCAGGAGGCCCAGGAGGTCCATCTTCACCTTTCAATCCAGGAATTCCCTGATGTATATGATAAAAGATTAGAATAAACATGAAACTTTAATCATATCTACTTTTCTCCTATTTTTTTCGCCTAATGACTGAAATTACCATTCTTGCAATAAGGTTTGGTACAAATGTTTTAGATATATGAGGCAGTAATACTACTGTTGTATAACAATAGGCCATACTCACCAGAAGTATCTGATTCTGTGCTAGTGCTGTAATTATTTGTTCAATACATTGTAAAATATGACCTAGGCCATACTTCTCAGAGGGGTTGTAAATAAATTACAGAGAGAAGACTAGAAAACAGATGTCATACTTCTTATACTGGGGGAGAATGAGGATTTTTTTAAAACATTTCCTTATAAAATTGAGAACTTGAAACTTACATAATATTAAAACTTGATTGATTAACTACATTTTGATGCCAAGATTGCTTGTATACATTGAAAATAAAATAGTTTAATGATATTTTGAATATAACTCACTAAAAAAGTTGTGGTGTGGCATGCATACTTTGACATACCCGTAGTGGGAGGGTTAACTGACTTTCAAAAAAGACAAATTATCAGAGCTGTATTAATAGCTGATTTAGTGACCCAAGTTTTACAACTTCTTAGAACAATATCAAACATTATTACAGTATGGAATTTATCCCATATTTGTCATCAGTTAAATATAACAGTGGTTAGAAAGTCATCATGAGTAAACAAACTGCCATGTTTTATGTCAAGTTTTGTCCTCGGGGAATGGAATTCCTAAGCATAATTTTCAGCATCTTGCAGATAGTTTACTATAAAAAATTGATAAAGTTCTAAGAGTCAAGAGTGGAACCACACATTAGCAAACTACTTTCACTGAATGTTTATAATTTTTTAGCCAACCTCTGTAGATCTATATATACACGTGTGTGTATAAATGAGTACAAATTTACAAGCACAGTACCAATTTATTTAGTTAATTTGTAACATATCTGCTTCAAATCGAAATTTTCTAAATCCAATAAAAGTAATAAGTAAGAATTAGTTTAGATAATACAAAAACTTACAGGAGGACCACTTAATCCTCGTTCTCCAGGTGCTCCAACTGCTCCAGGAGGTCCAGGAGGACCTTTGACTCCAGGACGACCTGATGGACCCTTAATGAAAGGTCAAGAAATATCCATAAATTAGTCTTTAGTATGTTTGAAATCTATAATTCTACTTAATAATAAATAATGCTAAATTTTTATATTTTTACCTAAACATTTTGTAGCTTAATTCTTTTTATATCACATAAAACCTAAAATGATTTTTTTCACATAGTTAAGTCTATTCTAAAATCAGTAGAGGATTAACACACTTAGAACTTCACAGAGCAAAATAATTAAAAAAATACTGATAATAAACAGTACAATAAGAAGATAACATTTTGTAAGCTCCTCTGACAACCTAAATCATGATTTGAAGTTCACATTTTCTTTCGTGTTTTTTTTAAAAACAATGAACTTAATATTCTAATTACTATACAAATTTGTTTTAATAAATTTAATAATTTAAATTTTCTATTACATCTCCTTTCAAATATTAAGAAAAAAAACTTTATTACAACCTTCCAAGCTATAAAGCCATGGATCTTAATTCATAAAGATAATATCCTTTTTCTGTTTTGTGTATTAAAGTCATTAAGTATCTCAGCGACAACTGTAAGGAAATGGTTAAATAGTGCATAGCTGAGTTTGTAGTGCCTACTGGTTCTCTCTTCATACATGCTTTTTTTTTATTATAAAAAGATAATAAGCTAAAGCTAAGGAAGTTTACAATGTTGGCAACATATATTCAAAAAACAAATTCAAATTATATATAAAAAAGAATTATAATTAGTTACAAACAGTTCCATATTTAAATGTTTTCCCTTTTGCACAAAAATAAGAAGAGAATTTGAGAAGAAAATGTTAAGATGTGATACTTTATGTTATAGCTTTAGCATGTTCAAGTTAACTGTATATGTATGTATATACATTAAAGAATACGTAGTTAACTGAACATGCATGATATTAATTCAAATACCCTCCATAGTAAACATAAGAAGAAAAAAAGGGGTTAGGGAATAAAAAACAAAAACTTCACTCACAGGAGGTCCTTCTTTACCAGCCTCTCCAGGAAGACCCTGTTCTCCTGGGACACCCTATTGACAAAAGTTAAAACATGGACATGTTTAGCAGATGTTATATATAAAGACAGAACATTGTAACAATGTTGAACTATAAGCAAGGAAATGCTACAATCTACAGCAAGCAAGAACATATTACACTGTATTCTTCTATTATATTCCAATTATGTTCTTCTTGGGTCATTAACCATTAGTTGGTATCAAATAACTGTTATAATTCTTCTAGGGTCATTACCCATTACTCAGGTATAAAATAACTGTTATAGTTCTTCTAGGGTCATTAACCATTACTTAGGTATCAAGTAACTGTTATAGTTATTCTAGGGTCATTAACCATTACTTAGATATCAAATAACTGTTATAGTTCTTCTAGGGTCATTAACCATTACTTGGGTATCCAGTAACTGTTATAGTTCTTCTAGAGTCATTAACCATTACTTAGATATCAAATAACTGTTATAGTTCTTCTAGGGTCATTAACCATTATTTAGGTATCCAGTAACTGTTATAGTTCTTCTAGGGTCATTAACCATTACTTAGGTATCCAGTAACTGTTATAGTTCTTCTGGGGTCATTAACCATTACTTAGGTATCCAGTAACTGTTATAGTTCTTCTGGGG